AGCACTGGACTCAACGCCCATGCAAGCCAGCCGGGAATCCGAGGCTCCTGGTGGTCCCAGGGCTGCCACTTGCTGGATTCATGACTTTTGCAGGTTTCTGTCCTCTCCGGGGCCCTGTTTCTCCTAGAAGTTGGTGAGATGATTTTTACGGTGCTCATAACAACTGGGAGAGGTTCACGGGCCTGGCATTAGATGACATTGAACCCTACAATAAGAAAATCTGTCCTTTTTCCATTTTCTCCAAATCCTTCTGGTTGTCTCCGGGAGTGAATTTCAGTGGGTTGCCCCTGCCCCACCACCTCCTTCTCCGTTCGCGTCACCTTTCTGACAAGATGAGCGCAGGCCTCCAACTCAGAGCCTTTGACACACTATAGGTTTCGAATGCCAGTTAAGAGACACTTTTGTTTTTGTTGAATTTATTCTCTTTTTAAACCATGGTATGAGCTATAACTCATGTTCCGTAAAATTCATCAGCTTAAAATGCATCATTCAGTGGTTTTTAACATATTCACAGGATTGTGCAACCTTCACGACCCAGTCTGATTTGAGAACGTTTTCAGCACCCCGAAGAGAAACCCCATCCCCGTTAGCAATCACTCCTTGCTCCTCGTGACTCTCCCAACCTGACCCCTGGCAACCACAAATCTAATTTCTGTCCCTGTGGACTTGCCCTTTCTGGACATTTACTATGAGGGGAATTACACAACGGACATGTCTTTTGGGGCTAGCTTCTTTCCCCTAGTGTCGTGTTGATCTGGTCACTCTAGCAAGGAATGCCTGTTTTTTAATTAATGGCTAGGATGCAATGTATTCTTCTAAAACAAACTTCTTTCGATTTTCCCAATTAAGGGAATTGATCATTTGCTCAAGATACCAGTTATCCACGGGAGGTGGGCTGTTCCCTAGAACTTTCGGGAAAACACAGTGCAAATCCTGTCCGAGGGCCTGGGGGGTACCTTTGCTGTTGGTTCTCTGATTTGGGGAACTTTTCCTCCCCCCTCCCCTCTCCCACAGCCACCAAGCCGCTTCCTCCATCCTCCCTGACGGTTCTCAGAACCCCCCTGCACAAAGGAATTTGGGGGGTGGGCGTGCACTGAGCAAAGTCTTTGCAAACAAATACTCAGTCCCCTCTATTCAACAAACTCAGAAGGACAGCTGTGGTCTCAGCTTTTCTCCAGTCGTTTTGTCCAGAAGCAGCATCTACAACGAGTTTAATTATGCAATTAAAGTCATTTTCCTGGGCTGAACAAATATTTACAGCATATTTTGCTACAAATTGCTTCGCCTGGAGAAAGGTTCTGCCGAGCGGGCTGGCGCGCCTGGCGTACATTCACACATTTACATAGCCCATTACCAGGGGGCCACACGGCGCCGAGCAGGTGGCAGACAAGCGAGCCCCCAGGAACAAGCATCAGTGCAGAAACGGTGACAGGTGTCAGCAAAGCAAATGTGTTCCTGGCCCTGCCATGGTACTGCCGTGGACCGATGACGTCCATTGTTTCTCTGCGGCAGCCCCAAATCCCGGCTCTGCGGCATCAGAGAACACCTCTGAGCTCTGTCCCACTGCTGGGGGGGCGGGTGGGGGCAGATGGCAGAGAGAACATCGTGCGTGGAACAGCTCTGTAAAAATCGGAGCCACGTCCATCACGCAGTGGTCCCGGGAGGTGGTCCTGACAAGAACCTGTGTGTGGAACCTCTCCCAAGGGCCCCCGCTGCGTTCAGTTTCTTACCCAAGCGGGGGCAGGAAAACCCCCCAAGGCAAACCTTCAGAAAAGCAGAAAAAAGTCACTTTATTTTACTTCCTCTGGACTTTTCTCCATCTCAAGCCCCCATTTCACCCCAAGGAGGAAATTTCATCGTAGTTCATTGGGGTGATGTCAGCTGACTCAGGGTCTTCTCAGCTTGGGGGGGGGTCCTCCCCCTGCCCAGCTCCCCGGTCTGCTGCAAAGGTCTGGGTGGAGGCTCATGCAGTATGACGGGGTCGGCACTGGGGGACGACAGATGCCACTGGTGGCGACAAGGACTGCCAGGGATAATCCAGACCCAGGCTTCGGAGCCCCTCGGCTGAGAAGGTCTGGGTGTCCCACCATCCCAGGATGCATGAGCGGGGGGCAGTTAGGGAACCAGTGGGGTGAGTTCAGCTTCTCACCTCCAGCGCGACCATCTTGAATCTCAGCCCTGAGGGGAGAGGGCTGGTCCTGTTCCCACCTTGGCCTAGGTAGCAGCTGCTTGGGTCCATGTGTGCCCCCCTAGCCTGCCCCCAGCGACCCTGTGTCCTTCCCAGGGACAGCCCCTCAGAGCCACTCGGGAGCCCAGGGCTGCTCAGCCCTGGGCTAGCTGCCGTGAGGGACAGCGAGCACCCCGTCCCCGGTGTAGCGTGAGCTCAGTCCACAGTGAAGACCTAGAGCAGAGCAAGTACGTGTCTGCTGAGTGTCAGGCCCCTTCCTCACGTCATCCCACTTGACCTCCCCAGCCCCCTGAGAAGGTACGGTCATGGTGCCCATTTTACAGTTGGGGAAATGAGGCTTGGAGTTTTGTGCAATCACCGGAGAGTACGCTGGTGACTCACACCCGGACCCTCCGGCCCCCGGAGTCCACGCTGAGCTGGGCTGTTTTGTTTTATCCTCGTCAGACCCCAGCAGGGGTGTTACTGCCCTATGACACAGATAAATGTCACTTTGGGTGACACCACTGGCCAGAGGTCGAACTGGGATGTGTCCAAGGTCGCCAGTGTTTACTGCCCCCTGGGAAAAGCAGGAGGGCAGGGGCAGGTGGGGGGATGCAGGCCCTTTCCCATAGATGATGGAACCTGGTGCCTTGTTTACTGCAATTGCTGACCGTGGTGGCCAAGGTCGTGGTCGTGTGCCCTCTGCAGCGGAGCAGGTCAAGGGAGCCTCCAGGGCCCGTGCCCGGTGGTCTTAAAGCTCTAGAAGGAGCATGCTGTGTGGCACCCAGAGGGGCGAGTGGGCAGCCTGGGGGCTCTGGGCGAGGATGCGCCTGAGGAGAGAGGGCAAGAGCCGAACGTTTGTAAGCCCCAAACGTGCCCCTGGCAGGCCCCACCCCGCCCACCTGCCCCGCTGCCCCTGGCTGCCTCGAGCGAGCTTAAAGGCAGGTCTGTTGTCCCTTTTCAATGTCTGCTGTGTACCTACTGTGTTCCGGGCTTTAACCCAGTCTCCAGCACAGCTCCGGGAACCCACGGGGGCCAGAGGGCAGCACCCACGCTGGATTCCAGTGGAAGGTATCAGCCCAAGTGGGTCTGGGCTCGTGTGTGCTGGGGCGGGGCAGACCAGGAATCCACACCTGCAAACCACCTGGGCTTTGTCTGTCTTTCTGCCTTGCAGGGCCTGGGGCATCACGCAGTAACATGGGCGAACCAGGTCATCGCATCCTTCGTTATTGCAGTCAGAAGTCCCAGCACAGAGACCAGGTCCTGCAGGTGGGTGGAACACAGTTGGCACCATTTGGGGAAAGTGAGTCAAGGGCCAAAGGCAAGGGTTGAGTCCTTGCGGCTCCTTGAACACTTTTGTTCTGTTTAAGGCACTTCCTCTGGGCTGCTCCCCGGACTCCCAGGGCCTGGTGGCAACATGGTCACATGCCAGTGCGCTGGGCACGTGGGTGATGCCGCACAGGGGTGTAACAACTTCCGAGATGGTCAGCTTTGCCACGAGGATCAGAAGCCTGCTGAAGGCCAAGAACAGGGCATCCTAACAATGGCCCCCAAACTCTACCTGGAAGCCCCTCGCGGGGGGTGGGGGTGGGGGAACCCTCGGAGCCCAGCAGTGGGCAGAGAAAGAGAAGCCCGGTACCCTGGGGTGGACGCTCCCCTGTTTTGTCTCCCTCAGACGTTCGGTTTCTGAGTCAGAGCACATGCCAAGCAAGGGTTCTGCCGCGAAAAGAAAAAGAGGTTTGAAAGCCACCGATTTAAATTAATACAGCAGATAACATTTAATTGCACTAAACGGTTTTTTTCCCCATCAGCTGTTCTGGCATTAGAACATGACACTTTGTCGGGAGAGCTGGGTCAGCGCTCGGCTCTTTGAAAGAAAAGAACGCTCTGGTTGCCGTTTCCCAGCTCCGAGGGATGCTCCTGGCCTCAGTTTCCCCATCTATGAGATTGAGATGATCTCGGCTTCACCTTCCACGCGGAGCAAGGCACCAAGGAGTTTGGGGCAACAAGCGAGTTTGCAGGCGGCAGAAGCAAGGAAAGCCAAGATGCCGGGGTGCGGTGATTAATCTGAGAACACGCGGCTTGCTGGAAGGGTGAGGGGTCAAGCCGCTCTCAGCGCCTGTGCCCGGACAGGGAGACAGCAGGTCGAGGGCACAATGTTTATCTGCCAAATGCATGCGCCAAACCCAGCTTCGGGGTCATTTGCATTCTTCCTGACCCCCCAACAAACCTGTAAGCCCAGGGACCAGGTGAGGGCTTGAGGCCAAACCACACCCCCTGTTTTTCTCAGGGCCACCCACTGTTGGCACGCTGCTCCGTATACAGAAGGCGCACCATGAATGCTCGCACCATGGAACTCATTTGGCTTTCTCTCTACTCTCCTCCCTTGTGGATGACAGTTGAGAAAAGCGTTGGTCAAAGAGAGTTTACTGACAAAAGCCTGGGAAATTGGCCTCAATTTCCTCAATGTGGGAGGCTGAGCCCCCAGACCCAAACTTTGTCAAAAAGCACATTTTAAATTCTCCCACTTGGTGATGCAAGACCTACCATTTAATGACACTAACTAGTGGCTTCTAGACACTAACTGGTGGTTAATTCAGAAAATCCAAACTGTGGTGCCACGGTACCCTGGGGTGACATTCTCTCTGCTCCCACTTCCCATCTGGCTCCTTTCTGTTCCTCCACCGGCCCCCCACCCCCAGCTCACTCCCTCCTTACGGATGATCCTGATGCCCCCAGCTCCTTTGGAGGGGGTTCTGACCACATGATGTTTCATCAGAGAGTTCCTCGCTTCTTGGTGGCCCAGATAAGAAAAACCAAGCAAACGAATCCATCTTTTCTACAAAAGTTTATTTTGTAATTTTTCCAAGAAGAGTTAGGGAAAAAAATTGGAATTACGTCAAGGTAAGTAACAAGGGTGTATAAAAATAATTTAAACACACATATTAATAATAAAGCAACATTTCTTTCTAGCAACAACTAGTAGAGAATCTTGCCCAAGATTTTTCCAAAGGTATTATATACATCTTAGACAAGAAATACAGACACACACGCGCGTGCACACTCACGTACCCATCTACACAGCTCAAGTATTTTATCGGTGCATTCCAGCTAACTGATAGAGCTACAGTGATAAAAACAAAAAAACAAAAAACAAAATACAAAAAACAGGAAAGCCTAATGCACAGTGTCCTCGGGGTTGAACAAATGTGCACTGGAGAGTGATTTTTGGAGACATGCTAAGATTTCCCTCCCTGATCTCACAGTTACTAGCCTGTACTCTGTGGTCTTATCTGAAACCTGAATCTGCTCATCAGTGTGGTCATTGCGGTAGGATGGGTGGTGTTGGTTCAGGACGTCCCACCCGCTCTTGCTCCCGGCACCTCTCATGGACTGGAGAGGGGGTGATTTCACAGGTGAAGCCCTTGGGTCTGATTACATCTGGCTGATCCTTTGCTTCAGGGCAAGGACCTCTCTCTCGATTTCACAGGGGAGATCGGTGTTAACCTGCTCCTCTAGGTACTTCTGGATGTCTTCCACCTCCTTCTCCCAGAACTCCTTGGAGAGGTGGAAGAGCTCCTTCGTGTTGATGTCCCCCAGGCCTGTCAGGTTCAGGGCCCCTTCCTCGGGGACGTAGCCGATGGGCGTGAGCTTGGCACTGGCTTCCCCACTGATGCGGTTGAACATCCACTCTAGCACCCTGGAGTTCTCACCAAAGCCTGGCCAGAGGAATTTGCCTTCCTTGTCTTTCCGGAACCAGTTGACATGGAAGATCTTGGGCAGCTTGGCTGCTGGGCGCTGGGCCATGCTGAGCCAGTGGGCCAGGTATTTGCCAAAGTTGTAGCCAAAGAAGGGCCGCATGGCAAAGGGGTCGTGCATGATGACCTTGCCTATTAACAGAGAGGGGGGTGGTGCTGGTAAATGCTCTCATAGGGCAATATCGGTACCATTTATTGTTGACATAGGCATGCTTGGCTTTGTCTCTCCCGCACTACACGTACGGACTAGCAGAGACAGACAGACAGAGAGCAGGCCAGTCACTCTCTGTGGTCGTAGATTTTTCCCTTTAATTTACCTTGGTGTTCTGCAGCCGCTGTGGCCTCTGATCGCATGGCCGCCCCCACAAAAACTCCGTGTTGCCAACTGAGAGCTTCATAGACCAGGGGAACACCTGTAGCGGGAGAAAAGGATTGTCCTTTAAAGGCTTTGACACAGACCCTTTGGCTGGCGATGACATCTCACAGACATCTCACAGGAAAGATACGGCCGAACGGTATCTTTCTAACTGAGCTAATTCTGTCCCCCACCAAAGCGAAAGTGCGCAAATACACCACCGAGGCTGCGCAACAGAAAGTTAAACTGGATAGAGCTCCATTAGGTCAAGGATCCAGAAAGGCTATCAGTGCCTTGCCAATTATCCTGGCTTTTTGGAGGCTGGAGATCTTTGGCACCCTCTGCCAAGGTCATGAGGAAGGAGAGATTCCATGGATGTCCCCTGGAAGCGAACACACCCACATTCCCAGGCTGAACGAAGGAGAGCCTCACCAGCAGGTCGGCGGCCCCCAAAGATGATGCCCTCAATGGGCACCCCTTCCGGAGACTCCCAGGCGGGGTCGATGATGGGGCACTGGCTGGCAGGCGTGCAGAAGCGTGAGTTGGGATGGGCACAAGGTTCCCCTATAACAGCAAGAGAGGAGAGGCCCCTTAGGGTCTTGTCCAGACAAGTAGTGCTTGTAGGCTAAGCCCCAGGGCCTCCAGAAGGGGCTCACCATCCCGGGGGGTCCACTCCTTATTCTTCCACGAAGTGATCCTGATGCCCGGGGCTAGCGCCTGGTCGATACCTTCCCAGTAAATGCCCCCATCACTGGTCTCGGCCACATTGGTGAAGATGGTATTCTTCTGGATGGTCTTGATGGCGTTGGGGTTGGTCTTCACAGAGGTTCCGGGAGCCACACCAAAAAAGCCATTTTCTGGGTTGATAGCCCTTAAGTTACCTGCAAAGTTTTAAACCAAAGAAGTAGAAGTCAATGCCAAACAAAGCCCAACATATATTCTCAGCTCCGGCCAGGCTAATTTTTGTGAGAAATTCTCAAGTCTTTTTTTCTCCCCCTCCTCCCCAGACGAGATTTCTCTTTTCTCATCCGAGCATTATTTTCTACTTTGACACTTTTACAACCCTTTCTTCCTCGTCCCATTTCTACCAGTACTATTTTAACAAATTGATTGTGTCAACAAGTAGCAACATACGGCTCGATTTCAATCCAGAGTCTATATTAAATTAAAGAATGCTTACAGAATACATATTCCTAAGGCTTTGCAAGATGTGAAATAACGAACTTAAAAATCCAAACATTGGATTTGGCAGGATTTGGCATGCCTTAAAAGCCAAAAGTTTGCTTAGGTCCAATTATTATTGTCAACAGTTGGGCCTAAAAGAGTCACCTTGTTGGTCAAACTTCATCCAGGCGATGTCATCACCCACACACTCTATTTTCCACCCAGGGAGGCTGGGGTTCATCATGGCCAGGTTGGTCTTGCCACAGGCACTGGGAAAGGCTGCTGCGAAGTACTTCTTCTGGCCCTTGGGGTTGGTTATGCCCAGGATCTGTTGGGGACAAGATTCCTCCTTAATCTCTTCCTTCCTATCCCTCCTGGTGGTCAGTGGCTCAGTCTGGGAGACTGCCCAGAAGCCCCCCAAAAAGAGGTTCCCGAGAGCTATGTCTTCAGGTATCAAAATGAACTCTTCAAATAATCAAGTCTAAAGGCGCTCCATTGGTCCCATTGCATTTGAAGTGCTTCAAAAGAAGCATTAATAATCATTGGTGGGATGTCTAAATCTGTCCTCCTCGGGGTGGGTCAGGTCTTGCCAAATGGGAGATGCACTTCCGTACACACTCAGACCTCCATGCCCGCACCTCCGAGTCCACACCTTGTGCCTGCAGAACTTCCCACATCTTACCAGCATGTGTTCTGCCAGCCAACCCTCTTCCTTAGCCAGCCGGCTGGCCATCCTGAGGGCAAAGCACTTCTTCCCAAGGAGCGAGTTCCCGCCGTACCCACTCCCAAAGGAGATGATTTCCCTGCGGTCGGGCAGGTGCGCAATGAGTGTCAGCTCTGGGTTACACGGCCAGTTGTTCACCAAAGGCTCTGCACAGGAGGACACATCGCGTGTGAGCATGCCACATCCCCACCTGGGGATCCCCAGAGCAACGGCCCGGGGTTTAAGGCTAAGCTCATTTGTTGCTTGAGCTTCCAATTCTGAAATAATACGCTTACTTTTTAAAGGTAAAGGGCATCCCACAGAATGGAGGCACTTGACGAATTCCCCATCCTCCAGCGCTTCCAGGACAGCTGTGCCCATCCGCGTCATGATGCGCATGCTGGTCACCACGTAGGGTGAATCCGTCAGCTCGATGCCGATCTTCGACAGCGGTGAGCCCAGGGGCCCCATGCTGAATGGGATCACGTACATGGTGCGACCTGTGGGGGCCAGTCGATGGGAACTGATGAGAAATGACCCCACAACCACAGAGGCAGGTTAGCCTAGTCTCATGGTCCCCACTAACAGCATCACACCCTTGCTACCAGCACCCCCCCCACCCGATTTTGAAGACTCCCCTGGAAACTGAAAGGAATGCCAAAATGAAAGTTTTCATAAACATGCAACGGGTTTCTGCCAAGCTATCCTAAATCCCAGTAGTGAGCCAGACATTTTCAATACACTGCCAGTTTCATACATGAATTTAAAGCTATCTGAGGTCACAGGAGTGTTCATGGCTGTCGTAATTACCCTTAGGACGACATGATAATGTTTGCCTTTGCTTTATTTGATTTTTTCCAGTCAAACAAACATCTCACTCACCTTTCATGCACCCTGGAAATCGGGCTTTGAACGCTTTCTCAAAGTCCTCCTCTGACATCCAGCGACCTAGTTGGCTGAGGCCAGTTTTGGGGATGGGCATGGTATCTCTTTGCTCTTGGGTAATGATGACTGTCTTGCTTTCAATTCTGGCCACATCCCTGGGGTCAGTGAGAGCCAACCAGCTGCAAACATGAAAAACAGACAGGTTAGGAATGGAGAGGGAAGTGCTGCCATCTCGCCTTGCATCTCTGCCCCGGATTCCCTTCAGCCAAGCGTCCTGTCGGAATGGGCCAGTCCCATTCATTACTGTGCTCTTCCCACACCTAGCAGAGGCCGGGCACACTGGCGATGTTCCATAATTGTGGACAACCACACCAGCTGGGGCGTCTTCAAGGAGACATTTGCTAGACTACGAGCTTGTCTTTTAGGAGAGAGCAGGTCTGACTGTCATTTCTATCAGGGATTTAGTTTGCAAAAAGTGTTTGTATGTACCATCTCATTGCAGACTTGAGCCACTCGATGAATGTCATTACACTGAAGTCTGTATGGTTCCACCATTTCATTAAGTTTTTCAAGAGTCGACAACCCACCCCACCCCCCACCCGGTGTTCGTCCACCTCTTGCAGGAGCAGCCCCGCGGTGGCAGAAGGGAGGGTGTGAAGGCAGAGGCTGGGGGCCTGCTTACCAGTTGTTGAGCTTCTGCAGCCTCTTGATCATGCCCTCTCCTTCCATTTGGTCCAGCAGCTGCTGGTTCTCCCGCTCGGAGCCATCACAGATGTGGATATGCTCAGGCTGGCACAGCCTGACGTTGCTCTCCACGAATGCTCTTACCGCCTGGGGCAGGCTGTCTAGGGTGCCCTGGATGACTTTGGCTGAGAAGTTGAGGCCGTTTTGGAGCTGAGGAGGCATCTCTGCAGGGTCGTGCTAAGGACCACGGATGCCAAAATTCCCTGAAAGAGAAAACACAGCTTCTTGAACAAAGTAACCGACGCCCTCAAAGAAACTTAACATACTTGGTTGGGCGGCACCTCACAAGACAGTCAGGGCTCTTAAGGAGAAAAGGAAACGAGTTTGTGTTGTCTCTAGAAATGTCAGTTAGAAATCTCTACCTACCTTTCTTCTTTTTGGATGATCTCGATGAGAGATCCAAGGGTTTCTTTCGAGGTTCTTCCTGCTGGTGGACGTGCGTTCCCAGTGGGAAGTCCGCGTTTGCTGTTTGGTGGCAGAAGCTCCTGGCCTTAAATCCCATGGAGGACAAAGGCCCCACCCCTCGGCTACCCCCAGGGAGGCTCGTCTCTGATGTCAGGGGCAGGACTTTGGATCAGAGCCACTGTCCGTCATGCTTCTGGACTGGCTCACCACAATAAGCCCCAGGGAGATAATCATTGAACAGATAGTTGTTAATGAGTGCTGGGAGGCCTTTGTCCCCAGACCAGCCACAGCAAGTTCTTACACAACTTGTGATTGACTAAACTTTGACCCAGTTCACTGCTGATGTCAAACACTCTGCCCTCCCACCCACAGGCAGGTGGGACCCCCGCAAGGCTGGTGGGGGCACCTCCTGGACAGCAAAGGTTGTTGGCAGCACATTTTGTGTCCTGCTGGCTGCTAGGTGGCAGAACACCGTCATGGCGAGGCGTCACCGCGCAGTCAAGGCCTAGGGGAAGGATGTGCCCAAATGTCAGTGAATACATGGCTCATTGGCAAAAGTCAGACCTCACCGGGGGTTAATAATCTTACTGAGCGTCCCCTGTGTGCCCCCCACCCCAAATATAAACTCTGCGAGGGCAGGAATCTCTGCCTATTTTGTTAATTTTTGTATGTACAGTTCCCAGCATATAGTAGGCACCAAACGAGTGAATGCCAAGCATCGTTATAGATGCTTTGCATCAACTGACGCACTGCCACCTTCTGAGCCGGAGCCTATGAACAGACAAAGAAACTGAGGCATAGGGAGGCCAAGTGGCTACTCCCGGCTCCTGGTTATAGGCGATAGAGGGAAGATTGGAACATAAGCCAGCGGGGCTCTGGGTCACCCCACCATAGTGTCCCTTGTAAGGTGCCATTTCCTTTTCTGGAATTTTCCATGTATTCTCTAAGCAGTTTCTGGACTGGATGCAGTTACCCGCAGAGATAACTACACACTTCTCATTGCTCTTGCAAGTCTGAGTGTCTGGGGAGTGAAGGGGGCTTGGTGGTTTTGCTAGATTTCACTTGAGCAATGAGACCTTTATGCCGGCTATAAAGAATTTGCTTTGCAAGCTGTAAGAATTTCAGTCCAATTTAACGCACTCTGGAGCTGCTTGCTGGCATTTTGAGAGCACTGGGTAAGAAGTCAGGAGCACAGGGCCAGGCCCCCACTCCCTGCAGGCAACCCAACAATGCAGTCGGTGGGCACCTGGTCCCTGGGATGAGGCTGGGTCGGGATTCGCCTACCGCCACCATGGGATGTGCAGAGATAATTCTGTGACTGTGTCTGTAAGGAGCTGTAGAAATACAAGATTCTGGGAAGGGCAATCTCAGACCAAGAGTATCTAAAGGACTACCCAGCAAGCCTTAGTTCCCACAGCAACATTAGGTATACACATGTCACCGTCTTCCACTGAAATTATCAACCCATTGCAATGTCTCATTTACTCAGATTCTTATTCAACCCAATGAATCTCTCGGTATAAACACCATATGAGAGGTTTTCATGTAGTATAAAATTATTTCCCATTTAGGTGACCGGAGTTCATTCTTAGTGGCGCTGTCAACCATGTAAGTTTGTGTCATATCTAAATACAACCACAACGTAATGCTCAGTTGCTGAGGGACACTTTCTTAGCATCTGACGCCAGTGAAATTAGCCATTCAAATGCACGGCCATAAATACGCAACACACGCATTTATGCCAATGCGGTCCATCTCACCAAATGGGTAGAGATTCCCATTTTGCTGATAAAACTGATGGGTTTCATTCCCTCGAAGAGTATATAGATTGAAAACAAAAATGAGAAACCAGAACTTATTTGCAGTTCTAAATGCTACCCATAAATTCAAGGTGTTTATGTTCAGAATCTTCCTGGAGAGAAATAGCTAGCTCAATTAAAATGTAGGAGCGGTGGGCCACCACCCCCCCTTGGCCAACTGCTTAATTTCCCGCACTGACCTCGGGGAAGGTTGACATGAGTCCTTCGCAATTGTCCCTCGTCAAAATAACGTGAAAAGGCAAACATTGATTCACCTGAAAGTACTGGATTTGTTAGAAGAGGGTGATGCAGACAGAAGCAAGGGTGTTGAGGATGCAGGGCAGAAGTATGGACAAAGGTCACTTAGCCCTCTGTTGATAGGACCCCAGGGGAGGCTGCCTGCCCCAAAGGGGTCTTTGCAACTAGAGATGGTCTCCCGGTGTGAGCTGCATTTGTCATTTCTGGGGTAAACGCCATGGGGACCCCCTAATTTTTCAAGGGTGGCTGAAGATGCAAGACTGCTCCTCTTTTTAGCAACATATAAAAAGTGGAACCCCGACAAAACTGTTTTTGTTGGAAGAAGGAGAAGGAAACAGTAGACACCGGGAAAAAAAAAATAGTTTCAAACCCTGGAGTTAACGTCTTCACTTCTCCTTGTGAGGTTCCACACACACTTGTCGCTGTGGAAGCTGCGGGCTGGCTGTCCCCAGGGTCCGAGGAGGGAGCGAGCAGGACTCTAGAAAGCCTGTGTGGAGTGGGGCAGCAGAGAAGACTAGCATGGAAACCAGATGGCTGTCTAGAGCTGCCAAGACTCAAATGGTGGGAGCAGGTAAGGGTGGGGGCGGGGAACAGCTGCCTTCCAGGTAAACAGTGGAAAGGAAACCATGCACTTAGGTGGAGTCTCACAAAGGATGCTGAGGACAGTTTGATGGAGACATATGCTGGTGGTTTCTTCATTATCTGAGAGCCAATTAAAAACAAACAAACAGACAGGAATTCCAAAGACCATCAACACCAGCGTGTAGACTTCCTGCAGAGCTAAGAGATGCTCGGAGGGATTGCGGGGGCGGGGAGGGTGGATTCCACTGAGACACCCCACAGCACGCGGGGGAGGCCCAGTGAGACGTGCCCAGAGCCTTCTCACGCACAGCGGTCCTGACTTCATCTGTGGTGTGTATCAGCCTTCCATATTGGATCCTTATTTGAACAAGGAATTCCACAGCCAAAACACACTGGGAATCCACCAAAATCACAACCAATTCCTTCCTTGGAGAAGTGAAACAGCTGAGACCCAGAGGAGGCAAATAGGACATTTTCCCAAACTGAGGCTCTTAAATGCAAGATCACGGCCTCCCCTCTCCACCCCACCAATGATCAGGTTGACCACAAAAATGCCCCTCAGTTCGGGAATCTGAACTCGTAGGAAAGCATGGCCCTTTCTTGGTAAAGACAGAAAGGGAAGGTTGTTTTCCAGAAGGTGATAAGAAACTAGCAGTGTAAATCGCACGTCTTGTGCTGGAGCCAAAGGTATATGTGCAAGTCAATTCTGGTCTCCCTTTTGCCAAGATGCTACTCCGTGGGCATGGACTGGCCCAGCCATGGAAGTTTCCAAACAGCAAGAAAACATGTTCAGCTGTGTCATGATCCGCCATGGAATCATTTGCCAGGGCAATCCCAGGTGTGTTTGTTAGGGACAAATATTTACATATTCTCCATTTATGGGGTAATCCTAATGTCTTTGCAATCTGGAGGGTATTTTTACAGTTGAATGAGTTGAATTTCTATTTTGGAGCCATAGAATCATGTAATTGAAAGGGTCCTTAAAATGTTATGTTAATCCAGCTTAATGGATAGGGGGTCTCCTCTGGGGGTGATGACAATGTCTTGGGACTAGACAGAGCACTGTGACTGTACTAAAGCCCACTGGATTGTACACTTTAAGGTGGTTAGGTTTATGTTATATGCATTTTGCCTCAATTAAGAAACAAAAAAGATTCTGTAGCCCAATCTTTTATTTTGAAGAATGTGGGAACAACGAACAGGTGTAGGGAGCAGGTGTACAGGGGAGGTTTATCAGAAGCCCTCTCTAGGATGCAGGCAGGTATCCCACACCCTCCACTCAACCATCACCCCATGACCTAATCCTTTCCACTTCTCTCAATGGCCTTGCGATGTCTTAAGACCTTGATCGTGGGCTGCATGCGCACTCACCCAGCAGAGATGACAATTTCTATCATTTGGGAATCTTCCTTCAGGAGGGTGACGATGTTGTTTGTATATTCTTTCCACGGCGAAGAGATAAAAATGAATCTAGAGGTAAACCACTGTGCTGGGTGCATGTTAATAAAGCATGATCTTTGCCGCAAAGATGTGCCCACAAGACGTGTTAATAACCAGGTGTTAGAACCTTTTCAGAGGGCTGGTTATCTCCCATTTCAGTCATTAGCGACCCATGGAAATAGTGACTCCATAAAATCTTGTTGATTTTCCTTGGCGATGTCTCTGTCAGGTTTATGGAGAGGCATAAAGGAGCTCTGGCCATGCAGAAATGATGCACAGGGTGGATGGACCCCAGTGTGAGATACCACATCCATCCCGTGAATGACTTCGCCCTTCAGAGAGCAGTGTCACCTCTGCGGGACGCCGACGCTGAGACAGAGGCTGCAGCACCGGGCCACGACGGGTGGGTCGCCCTCAAAGGCAGGACAAGCAGATTCTAGAACTGCTCGCGTGGTTTGCCTCCCACTGCTCTTTACCCGGGGCCGTGTGAGACAGTGACACCACTTTGCCCAAGCCATTTGGGTCGGATGGTCTGTAGTTTGCAGCCCAACACATCCTAAGTGAGACGAGGATCCCTCTCCCAGTCGGCACGGAACCCAGACTCAGGAGCCCTGGGTTGACTCCAGAGCCAGCTCCCCTGGAAATCAGACCACTCTCTTCGCCTGCACAGCATGCAGGTGGATAACATGCGCACTAAGGCCGTTTCTGGCCATAAAGTCCTGTTGGGTTATCGCTGCTCACATTTGCCGTCACGGATTCTGAGATCCGCGGTGGCTTTGGCCTCATCTTATTTCCCTCTCACCTACTTTGGAAGACTGGTGACACTGTGTTTGCTAAGCCTCTCTTCGTGTCAGAGGCCAGGGAGGCCTTTGTTCCTGTTAAAATGGGAAGTCAGGGGCGCCTCGGTGGCTCAGTCGGCAAAGCATCTGCCTTCGGCTCGGGTCATGACCCCGGGTGCTGGGATGGAGTCCCAC